CGCAGAAAGAGGTTCTGCTCAAAAATACTTCTGCTCACTTTCTTCGCAACACAGAAAGGGAATTCTAATTTGTGAGGGTTATAATCCCTAACCGCGGCCGCAGGCCGCCTACGCAGAAAGAAGTTCTGCTCAAAAATACTTCTGCTCATTTTCTTCGCAACACAGAAAGAGAGTTCTACTTTGTGAGGGTTATAATCCCTAACAGGGGCCGCAGGCCGCTTACGCAGAAAGAGCTTCTTCTCAAAAATACTTCTGCTTGATTTCTTCGCGACACAGAAGGAGAATTCTACTTTGTGAGGGTTATAATCCCTAACCGCAGCCACAGGCCGCCTACGCAGAAAGCAGTTCTGCTCAAAAATACTTCTGCTTCTTTTCTTCGCGACACAGAAAGAGAATTCTACTGTGTGAGGGTTATAATCCCTAAGCGCGGCCGCAGGCCGCCTACGCAGAAAGAATTTCTGCTCAAAAGTACTTCTGCTCGTTTTCTTCCCAACAGAGAAAGAGAATTCTACTTTGTGAAGGTTACAATCCCTAAGCGTGGCCGTAGGCCACCTACGCAGAAAGAAGTTCTGGTCAAAAATACTTCTGCACATAGAAAGGGGGTTCTACATTGTGAGAGCTATAATCCCTAAGCGCGGGCGATGGCCGCCTACGCAGTAAGAGTTCTGCGTCAAAAATACTACGATGTCAGGTGTTTCATACACTTGACAAGGCAACACAAAAGGAGAGTTCCGCGTAGGAAGGGTTGTAATCCCTAAGCGTGGCCAAAGGCCGCCTACGCAGAATGAGTTCTGCGTCAAAAGTACAACGATGTCACAGGGTGTTTAATACACTTGGCAAGGCAACACAAAAAGGAGAATTCTGCGTAGTAAAGGTTATAATCCCTAAGGCGGCCGAACGCTTCCTACGCAAAGAGAGTTCTATGTCACGAATACTACTTTGTCAGAAGGTGTCTTATACACTTGACAAGGCAACACAAAAAGGAGAATTATATGTACATAATACTCATAATTGCTATTAAACACATAATAAATTACCACTTATCATTTTCGCCTTTATAATATTCTTACGTTGCACACGCAATACTCATAATTGCTTATCATATTCGCCTTTATAATATTCTTACGCTTTAAACTATGTTCACATTACCAACATAAAGTACTTAGTTTCGTTTAAAATACCTCACTAAATTAAGTGCGTTCATACACGCGATTCTTTATTTGTCTTGACAGCTTTGTAGCAACCCTGTGTTATTGTTTATTTAACGAAAAGAGATCGCGAATGTGAGTAATTGCGTATATTTTTATATTCTGAGTTGTTTGTGGTAATTTTTTAGATTTTAGATGAGTGATCAAAAGAGAAAGCTTCTGGAAATATTTTACAGACTACCACGCGCGATTATTAAAAACAAAAACGTCCAAACACAATGACATATCAGTTATGGGACAATACTTTTTACGATTATTATCGATAAAATTAGAGCCGACACTGATTTGTTCGTGATTTGGTTCTTGGTTTAAGATAAACTACGTACCATGGTACAATAAACAGGTAGTATCAGAAAATCAGCTGATTTGATTTTTTTCTATTTATGTGGTCCATAAACTGTCAAACTTTGTTTACAAAACTATCTTTGTTTACATTGTGTTGCATTGAGTGTATTTCTGTTAATTCAGCGGCAAATTTATTTAATAAAAATTATTTGATTATTTGATTTAAAGTAAACGTTCAGAAATGGGAAAATGCGTATTGTGTGGTAGAAGAAGGGGAAAGGGTGGATCCTTTTTTAAAGTTCCGCAGGATCAGCGGAGAAAATCCAATTGGGACAGAGCTTGTGGCTTGCAGCTTGCAGCAAACAGGTGGGTATGTTCCGACCATTTTTTACAATCGGATCTCATAGTTGGAGCGCAAAGGATCAACTTAATGCCCAACTCTGTTCCTTCCCTTAATTTTAATATACCACCTTCTTCGAAGTGAGTATCCGAAATGCGGGCGCATCAGATCACTTTATATGCAAGTTTTTTAGATCCCATAGTGCGGAATGTGTGGAACAAGATTCGTCCATGTGCTTTGATGTGTGTCCGGGTATGGGTGAACTTTTAGAATCAAGCATGAGTCTAAAGTAAGCCTAGATCACAAAGTTTTAAATCTTAACGATTCATTTATTGATGCGAATGTTTGTAGTGCTTTTGCAGGAGCTGTTGAGCAATACGTAGCGTATAACAGTTGCCATACACAGACGGATGACCATTGTGTGCCACAAAACAGTATCCAAACGAATACCGAGTGAGATTCCCTAAATCGATTTAATATAATTATATTTCCTTATAAAAACACAAATCTGTTCAGTTCTATATTATTACAGTGTGCAATGGAGTTGGAGATCGCAGATCTAAAATCAAAAAATAAGAAGCTACTAGAGGAAAATGCTAAGCTGAAGTTGAAGCTCCTGGAAAACGAAAAAATAATGACCTCGGTTCGCTCCATTTTCACAAAAGGCCAAGTGAGGAAAATGGCTATGAATGGTATGTAGCTTTTTAAATATTAAAAGTATACTATTTTCTTAAGTAAGCTTCTCTGCTTACCTCGAAGGTAAAACTGTGCATTGGGCATGGAAGGACATATCGAGCGCTATATGTCTTCACGCTTCCGGTCCCCGAGCATACAGGCATCTGTACCAAGGTGGGTTCCCTCTTCCCCATGTGACTACTCTACAACGGTGGTACCGGAAAGTTCACATCAACGAGGGAATTCTCACCGTTGCATTGGAGTTCATGCGAAATATTAAAGACCTCTCTGCTCAGGAGAAAGTATGCTTACTAGCGTTCGACGAGATGAAGGTGACCGAGGCATATGAATATGAGCCAACAGAAGACTTCGTCAGAAAACCAGCGAACTACGTTCAAGTCGTAATGGCCCGAGGTTTGTACAAGAGGTGGAAGCAGGTAGTGTTCTTCGATTTTGACTGCAAAATCGATGTAGATCACTTGACACGCATAATTATGGCAGTGCAGGATGCTGGTTATCCTGTTGTTGTGATGGTATGCGATATGGGCACGTCGAACCAAAAATTATGGAGAGAACTTGGACTTACTATAGGTAAGAAGTAAATGTTCACATTATCTAATTTTTGCAGCATGTACTTAATTTTTCGTAGAAAAACCGTGGTTCCATAACCCAATGAATCCCGATGACAAAGTTTTTGCTTTTGCTGACGCGCCGCATATGCTGAAACTCATCAGAAATCATTTTCTTGATACCGGGCTCATTTGGAACGGAAAAACTATAAACACGCGAGCAATAGTGGACGTCATGAAGCACACCTCTTCCTCTGATGTATCCATTACATTCAAATTGACCGAGGCCCACTTATCCGTCAAAGGCATAGGTACATACATATGTCAAAACTACTTAATATTCGATAGCCTAGTAAATATTGTTTTCTCTATAAATTTCAGGGCGACAAAAAGTGAAGGTAGCAGCTCAATTGCTTTCGAACACGACTGCAATGGCTATACGGCGTTGTTATTCACTTGGGTTGGATGTGGTGAATCCAGTTGAGACAGCTGATCTAGTTCAGCTAATAAACGACTGGTATGATGTATTCAACTCGTCCGTGGAAACCTTCAACTACCCTGGAAAGGTAAATTTCATTACCCCAATATTCTAATTAGAAAACTTTTTTAAATTAAATTAAAGGAGCCATTTGGTCTGAAGTTGCAAAACCAAAACAAGGTTTTGAGACAAATGAGTGAGTTCATGTCAGAAGTGGTGATACCAGGTAAAAAAGGTTTGCAGCAATTCCAGAAAGGTGTTTTGATGAGTACTAATGCGCTGCCAATGTTGTACGAATATGTACAATCAAAGTACAATTTCAAATACATCGTGACGGAGCGACTAAATCAAGACTTTCTGGAGCAATTCTTTGGTAACATTCGCAGCAAGGGAGGACTATACGACCATCCAACACCAAAGGAGTTTAGATACAGACTTAGAAAATATATTTTGGGTGAGTTTTCGTAACCTTTAATAAATAATTATAATATAATATAATTATAATATAATAATAATAATATAATAATATATAATTTATTTTATATTTTAAACCATAAATTTTTTCAGCGAGGAACACCGAAATCTTGCAAAACACTGGCAATGTGAAGCAAGATTCAACAGAATGGCTCAACACATCCGATCCGCCGGGATTTTGTGACTCCTACCGTGACCAGACTATGGACCATGCGACGGCAAGTAACGTAGATTACTTGCCGGGTTTTTGTGAGACTGACCATGACCAGACTAC